TAAGAGTATGAATTGTATCGCAGAGTATAGTACTTATTATTACATCTTATATTTAAAAAAAGCTAAACGACCAGCGTCTAACAAATCGTCCCTGAAATTTAAAAAACCGTTTCACCGTTGTCACCAACATACAAATACATAGGTATTTATCCGATGCCTACCTACACGACAAATAATAGCATTTGTATTGTGAAGTTTCAACTAGTTATCTAGTCAATTTATGTACTTCAGGTCGGACTCGGCGCAAATCCGCATTTACATTACTTCATATAATAACAGTCAACATTATTATGAATTATAAACTTCATTCACATAATTCATTCTCAACGACAATACTATGTATTATACAAGACGATTAAGGGCACATTAAGATTTGCCATAGTAGCATTTTCTTGTATTTTTTAACCAAACCTGGACTCAAATTCTGCATGTCGCTCCAACACTTAATTTTATCCTTAATGTGCATCTCAGCCCAGTCTTCCATAACTTCACATGCTGTCCCGAACACTAGGGGAGCCGGCATGTTTGACGTAGCTGAATTGAATTTCGATACTACCAATCACCCCTATTTCGACGATATCCGAAACCTATACCCATATACCCCGATCCGTCGGATAATAATGTGTCAAGCTTTCCAAGACCCCACGACCTCCTCTCTCCCTTCCCCTACCTTCGACTTCCCTAAAGGATTCAACAATTTTACTTTTCCCACTACTGAAAAATCATCACGACCTAACGCCATTTTTATCACGTTGGAGCATTCGCCAAACCGCACTATTGAAGGTTATTTGCAATGTGAACACCAAATTTATCACGCTTCACGATTGCCACGGCAACATTTCATCGATAGCCGATATGGAGACTAACTATAATGACAAAACCCGCATTTACGAATCACTCGTACTTTCCCAAGTTATCCCACAGTTACTCGACAGTCGTGATAAGAGCCCACACCTTACCCAAGTCCTGAACAGATTGCAAGGAAACATAGTGTCATTCTACAATGAATCGGTGACAAATATGTTTAGTACAATTACTCACGAAAATTCGACCAGAACCCATCCAACTATTGCTGCCATATTTCCTGACAATGTGTTAGATTATAAGATCAAAATTATCAAGCTAACTGGAAATCGGTACGTAATCCGGAGCAGGGAAGACTCCCCATTTAAAAGGTTTAAATTCATGGTGGGTTTTAGGAATTTGATGTACCCTTACATCACAAAGGAATGGGGACACATAAGAGAATCCGGATTAGGAACTTTGTGGGAAAAAGTCATATGGACTGGAGAGTTTTTGGACGGAGTGAAGGGTTACTTAGGAAAACAGAAATATTTTGAGGCCGTGCAAAGGTGTTTTGGGAATGTAAAGGAGCCCGTGCTCTTCCATGAAGCCACGCCTGTCTCGATTGAACTTATAAGTCCAATCTTTGCCATATGTGGAGTCCTTCTTGGCCTAGGTTTCATTGGATTCATGGCAGAAAATAAGTCTAATCTCATAGTTCTTGGAAAATGTGTCGTTGACGGACTAATCAGTAAATTTATTTATGTTGCGAATTTATTTAAAAAGGTTGTGCTTATCAAGGCCGCCAACTGTTGTCCTGCCGAATAGTTACTCCTCCGGCTAAAACTACAATTCAACCTCATCTAGCTTGCGTCAGTGTTAGAAATTTCAAGTTTGGGTTCATATTCCGAGTTATAAGCACATTCATATGTACTCAACATATACTATTGCCATATATTTATACTAACTTACATAGGTAGTAATAAATATCTATGCATGGTTTCCATGCAACTGGAACTGGTACATGGGATGAGATCAAGATGACCTGAACTCTTCTCTTGAAGTGTTCAGTTAAATGAGCTCTGTGTCCTTCAGGTTGTTATTCCTTTCCGTTGAGTATTTGTAATTAATTACAAACTAAAGTACATACATAGTCAGCAAGACAGATACTAATTAAAGCATATTGGCATCAATCATATTTACCTTAAGCTATACATATTTGTAAATGTATGCAATGATGCTATGTTCTTGGTTTGCCTGATTAACTTTATGAATAAATGAATTTATGTAGTTGGAACAATACCTATACTTTGTTTGAGTAATAGAAAGAAGACTGATTTTATTTGTGCTTAATATTGCGATTACAGATGCTGCAGAAAGTAACTAGGGAAGAAAATTATAGCAACGTTTCCTAACTTACTGCGTCAATACTCATACAGAATAAGCGATTTCCTAGTCTAACTGTGGTTTTTTAGGTATTACGTGTCAATTGAAGGTTTAAGCTAATCGGTAAATTATGGATTCATATGTATGCGTCCAATATTCATTAATCCAGATTTTCCTTCAAGTATTAATCCTTTATGAATTTTACTAACGTGTTCTAAATTAATAATTACAATTTAGACTATAACCTTTTATAATATTTTTAATGCAATAATTTTAGCGATAATACCAATACATTGGCTATTTGAACTATGCAAAAATTCATCATAACCAACGGGGTTTGCATTTCAATGAAATTATTTCCAAACCTTATTTTCAACTGTAACATTGCACGAATACGTTTACGCAACCTGATATCGTTTCGATTAATCGTTGCCGTTGAAAACACCCGTCTCAGAAATTCAGTAGAGCCTTTGTTAGTTTTTCCGGAAAGTGTACATACAATAATCTGTATTGGGACAGCGTTAATAAGTCCCAGCAAAATAAATAGCATCGCTGGATTTGTCGTAATTTCGTGCCACATTCGAATCGTTATTACAGAAAAGCTTATAACAACTAAAGACAACAGGGCTAGCATGGCTGGAAGAAAGTATGATTGAAAAATATCATTCATTTGTATCTCCAATATTTTCAAAATTCCGTAAAACATTAATCTTTTGGATAATCCGTGCAAATTTGTCCAGCTACATAAAAATCAAACATTTCAATCACATGAGTTATGTACAAGCGTGAAGTATCGTATCACGCCTTATTTAGAGTAACGAATTAATGTCCTTTTAATTTCTGCTTAATTTATTTTTCACCAAGACATCAATTTATAGTAAATTCCTTTAATTTTGATTTCGTTAAAAATTAAGGCTATTTCACCATTTTCGTCGTAAATAATTTATTTTTTCTTAATTTATAGTGCAGTTCACGTTGCTTCATTTTGCAAAGTTGATATGCAATCAACTTTTTTCGAGTGAGAATCGAATTATTTTTTAAATATTAACTTTTTACTATAAATTGGAATGGTGTAAAGTAAACCAAAAGAGAAAATAATACTCTAAATAAGGCGTCATGCTGAAATATATTTATTTCCACCTCTCAGATTCGAGTATATTTTGGCGATGAAGTATCCACACTACCGGAATTACAAAGGTATATCCAATCACAAAACATACAATGGATGATGCACTGTACCACAACAGACATTGGGATCCGGTAGCGAATAAAGTGAGTGCTGCATGGGTCAAATTTCCAGATATATAATTGATCAGAAATGAGCCAAGAAATGGAGGCTGGCGAGGAATGAATAAAATTATCAGGAATACAAAGAGTGTCGTGATGTTACACGCCATTGTAAGTTGGAGAAGGAAATAGCCAGCAATTTTTTGGAAAAATTCACTTTTTGGTTTACCTAAAGTGCAGAAATAATTATTATTTACAAGTATAGGGTGTCCACTATATAGTTGGACCGTTGGACTTTAAAGTATACTGCGCAGTTGGTGGAAGTTGTTGTTTATCTACGTTATTTTTTGAAACGCAATTTCAAGGGCAACCAGCAGGTGTAAGGCATGTTTGCTTAAAATGGCGAAGTTCAATAGAAATTGAGATTAAAGTGAAAACCTTGCCAATCGAGTTCTTCACAACCACTAAACTGCCGCTTGACGTGACTCGAAAAATACGTCGCAGTACTTCAAACCGGAAATATTTGCGGAAATGTTTCTTGGTGGCCAACAAGACGCTCAGACAAATCATCCGTAGTAAAAACTGACAAACCTAGGTCACACCTATGTACACTACCTCAAAGGTTTTATAAAAATTTTCTAATCAGGTCGAACTCCATAGGTCATAGATCCCAATCCAACTATATAGTGGACGTACCTTATGTATAACAAGCGAAAACGTAATGTCTTACCCTCCGATGTGCTTCTACATGACCAATTGTACTTTTCCGCGTGAACAAGACATTTCAAGAAGGCTGTTATTTTTTGTTCATTCCTGTAAACTACCACGTCCAATAAAATCATCACGACATAGGAAAATGTGAAAATAGCGCTGATGGTGTGATTAGTTTTAGTTAAGATTGTAGAATTTCTCCAATAATAAGAACTCAATATGGAAAAAATTCCAAAAATGTAGGCTGACCCTAAGTGTCCTGCAAATGCGAACGATTGCCATTTACTTCGATTAGAGCGAAATTCTAGGTTTTTAGTGGTATTGTTCCAATATATGTTTGTAAGGTTTAAATGTGAACAAAGAAATAAATGACGCTTAAAATGAGGAAGTAAAAGTGCTAGAAACATTTTGATTCGATGGTAAAGAAGAATCAAAAAATGATTGAAAATCTGGCATCAAAAACAGCATTTCAGCTTAATTACATATGATTAGCTGTCATTATTTGAAATTTTGTGTAATCCATTAGACGTATAATTTAACTATGTCAAATCTGTAATCACGATAAATTAAATATATTGTGATTGGCCATTGATTAATGAATTATGTTCTAAGGAAAGGAAATATAAAACTATATTTTCCTAATGTTGCAATTGATACTTCAATTAATTTCGGCATAAATGTAGCATTTATTTCGTGCAAGTGTTCGAGTTTTGCGAAAATTGGTAACTTGCACCACAGTTTAATTGTATAATTTTACCAAATTCTCATATTTAGGACATGATTACCTATTTATAATTATGACAATTATGCAATTAAGTGAGGATATTACGAGCAGTTAGTATGTATCGTTTTTGTGTAATTGATGTAGGTCTCTAAGTGGTTTCCTCAATAAATAATTACTATATCATAATTAAATCCATTTATTAGGGCAGTAATCACAATAAAAGTGTAATAACAGATAATCTTAGGCGTGAATCAACTTTGAAAATCGGATAAACTCTCGCCCGTGGGAGACGGGCTTATACGCTAGTTTATCATATTTTAAGGTTGTCCTGCTCCTTATACTTAATTACTTAGGCTGATAATGCAATTGTGTGGAGTATAACAGACCGATTTTGCTGAAACTTTGAAATTACGTGGTCCAGGTCAATACAACTAATGTTTCTTCGGGTAATTTATGCTATTATCAAAATTTGGCAAAATATTTTAGGGCAAAGTTGAAAAAATGCGATTTCTAGCACAGGAAGAGAATTGAAGTCGAGTTTGCTTCCTTCACCCCGTAAAAATCGCCCGTTTTTCAGCTTTGCCCAAAATATTTTGACAAATTCCGACCATCGCACAAACTTGCATTGACCTGGACCACATAATTTCAAAATTTCAACAAAATCGGAGGGTTACACTTCACATCGTCGCATTATTAGTTGGATTGACTCTATGGCGGTCAGCTTGTTTGAGCGGAAGGCAGACAGGGCAGTCCGATCGCGTACAATGCTTCCAATGCGATATGATTTGACGAGAGGACCAACAGTGAGCGACCGTGCAGGATTTTCCAGCATGGCAGGTAACCAAGTGCGTTAGCACGTTCTTCATGGTCCGACAATGGGGAAGGGTACACTGGACAATAAGTAAAATAACTACGCATTAACAACTTTGTTTAATATTGTTCGCATTTTACGCTCATCAATTAAACTTCACCCTTTAATTTGTAACGAAGAGAATTGTCGGGGTGACAGGCTAATCGACGGGCCTTTTTTGCCCGTCGAGCGACGGGCGTTTTGACTAGTGGTGCCAATAATAATTGATTTATCTTACCTCTGGAGCATGACTTTCCCGTCTCTGACACTTGTGCGCATGCAGTAGCAGGATAAGCTGTTGTTGGATGAGTTTTCGCTTTTCGGGATCTACATTCGACGGTGGGGGAGCCTTTAGTTGATTACTGACGAGCAAAACATTGTTGTCAGGCTGTCCTTGAACGACCTGGTTCGGACCTTGAGCGTTGACCCCAGTTTGCATCAGAGGAATCCCATTGTTAACGGTGTTCGCGGCGCCACTACCCCTGTCGTCCTGGAAGTTCAGGGATTCTAGCAAGGCTGACAGATCGGCTGGGTTAGTTTCATCACTAGAAGGAACAATTTGCAATTAATTACTGGATTTTTCATAGTCAATAACAATAAGCTAGCTATCTAATTAATTGATTACGCAAATGAATAGGATAACTTAAAGGTCTTAAACTTACCAAGACTGCATTCCTTCAGGATCACGCACTTCTTCAGGGTTCATAATTCTGAAAGTTATGGAATTGTTCAATGCTGGTGTTGCATAATATTCATCAGAATTACAAAGGTTGCAAGACATCAAGTATAGTCAAGGTTAAGAATTATGTCGATTATAAATTACGATTATAATCTGGAACTTCGAGTAGAGAAATTAATGTCGGATCAGCTATAAATAGACTTTATGTTCTACGAAAATACGCAAATCACTACTAGCCATGGAGTTGTTATTTTTCAAAATTTTTGAAAATTTTCTAGGAACAAAGGATCACAAACGATTATCATCGTATATTTAGACGATCATTTTTTGCAAAAAAATAGTCTAATCGCCAATGGAGAATTTTGACCCGATTATAATCAGGAATTGATTATAATCCACATAATCGTTAACTTGGACTATCATCATAGTATTTAAAATCATTTTAAATACCTACACAGAATTTAACTCTTTGCTAAGTACTTTTACACATACCTAATAAGACTTAGGAATGAATTTAACAAATGTAATTTTTTTAACCCATTGTTAAAAAATTTGTTAATTTAATTAATTTTCCAATTCTGAAGTCAGCATTAACTTGCGATAAGGAACGATACTTTTTTCAATATTGTTTTAGCCATTACTCATAAAATGTTTTATAAAATGTTTTTTATTAAATGCCAAAACGATTGTTGTTGCTAAACTCGCCTATTAATATATTATGTAAATTAGGAATGGAAAAAATATAATTTAACTTACCTCTTGCTGATGGTAATGTGTCACAATTTTGTCAACTTGATTTTGCACACGAGTTCTTACTTCAATTTAAAGAACTTTTTGATTTGATTGTCTGCTCTGGCGTGAGGTTAGTTTGTAAGTGAGGTGCTTGGTTAGAAAAGACATTAATCTAACCAATATACATATGTAAATGTGGTATGCATTAAGGGTGCTTTGCAGGCATTTATGTATGTATTTGTATATTTCCGAGAATAATAAGTTTCTCGCTAAATGCATGCAATGAATTAGGGAGCATTAACCCTATCTTTTCAGGTACACGTGGCCTTTCCACCTTTTTCAAGAACAAAAGGTCTGCTTCTATATTTATCTTGAGTTCCATGTACAAACTAAAGACCTCTCTTTTTGGAGAATAACAATAAACCTTTTAACAGATAAAAATGGTTAAAACCGATTATTGACAGTTGAAAATGATTTTTGTGAGATAGGGTAAAAATAAAGCTTTAAACGCATGTAACCAAGGGATGAAAACAGTGTCATACGTCAAAACGAATTCCATACTGTTTTGTCCGTTCAAAAACTGTTAAAATTAACAGGTGTGACGTGTGTTCGACACATATTTATGATCTGTGACCTCTATCATACGGTCACGAAAGTGCATCAGGTCGAAACCGTATTTCTATCTAAGCTTAAAGAAGTGTTAAAATTGACATGTGCCACTTTTTCGTCGCTACCGAGGTTCTAATCGTCACAGGTAACGAATAGATGACCACGACGGTAGAGTCACATACGTACGGTTACTTTGTGGTTATAATGGTAACCTCATTTCTAAGAGTGTCGTCTAAAAATAACAATTCCATTGTATTTATTTACCTCCCTTCAAATAATCTAGTTTGGAATGTCAAACACCTCATTGTTTAACCCTTCCATGACCATTTTTATAATGGGCCTACCCTAAATTTACCCCTTTCGTAGGCCAGTTTGCGGACTTTTTTACCTTGTCGAGCCTTCCCTAACGAACTACTCAGTTTTTGACTTACAAGTAGCTAACAACTGTCCACCTCATTCTTACAGAACGTCATAACAAAAATTGAACGAAATGTTATCCCTAAAAATCAAAAAGGCACTAGCCTTCCTGGCATTTCTATCATTTTCTACCCTTGGTGGGGTGACTGGTCAAATTTCCTTTCCTGGGAGGTGCCCCTCGCCAACACCGGTCCAACATTTGGACACAATTCGGGTAATAATTAATTACTGAAGATTTTACTATTCTTTCGTACTCATCTACATATATTTTCTTTGGACAAAAAAATTAACTAGATTGCAGATTTCATGATTGCAGAAAACTATTAATTTTCTTTGGAACAAAATATTATTTTCTTGGGCATAATAAATTTGACACATTATTTCCATGAAGTCTTGTTGTCCTAGAAACTATGTACATCGTTTATGTAAGGCTGTCGTAAATTCCTTTAAAGTATCTGGGAAACAATACAGTATTATCACCGCGGTAGACTGCCACCTTGGTAATAATTTATCACATTGTAGTAACAAATTTAGACACTGACTATAAACGAATACGGAATATAATCTAAACTCAATTCTAAAAACTGTGAGGAAAGCAAGTCCAACAATAAATCATATTTTCCATATACCACGTTTTCATTTTTTACCCCCTACGTTTTTTTTAAATTGTGGAACCAATTTATGATTCCAGTACTCTGGCGGGTGGATTTCACAGTACACGTACATTTCTCCTTTAAACGAACATTTCTCCTGCCAACTTGGAGACTATCAGGAGCCCAAGGGAACCGGGGAGTGGTTCATGTTTAACAACTTTACAGACGCTTGGTGAGTAAATAAACCGTTAAACGCATGCAACGAAGGGGTGAAACCGAGGACTTTATAACATTTGTGAGATGATAAATGTATCAAATTTAACATTTGGTATCAGTTAATAGTTAACAAACAGTCATTTAACAATTTCGTGATATTTGAGGTCAAAATTGAGGTCACCATTTAAATTTCAGTCCTAATTGACATATGTTTGTATCAGATTTAAAGTTTATTGGTGACCTTACAGTGAACTTAGTTAGACTTTGGGGTAAAGTCATTTTTTAAAATATGGGTTACTTTTCAGTGCAAATTGACATATGTATGCATCAAGTTTAACAGTTTGTGACCTTGACCTTGACGTATACTTAACGTTATGCAAATTCATAGGACTGGTCGAGTTCTGGTTTTCCCGGCAAAGATAACCTTCCTTTTCGGAGTTCGGATGGATCTGCCTACTTGAACGCGGATGCTGTCACATCACTTGTCCCAACAATACCCGACCCAAAACTATTTAATTTTTCCAGTAATTAAATCTTAATTCACTTTCATGATTATATATTTAATTCGATTTGCAAGTAATTGGTGAGGGGCCATCCATAAATTAAATATGTAACACGGGTATTGTGAGGGGGGTTTCGCTAATTTGTGCCACGTGTTAAGAGTGGGCGTTGGGGGGAGGTTGAGTCAGAAAAATTGTGATTTTTGGTTTGCGTAATTTATGAACGGCCCCATATTTATCTAACCACCTTCAATAATTTAACAGTTACACTGGGCATCCCGTACTATGTAATTGCTACCGACTACACGACCTACACGGTGGAATGGGCCTGTAGTCAGGTTGGATTAATCAATTTCCGTAAGAACGATAACAAGAAAATTAACTTTTTCCATACTTTTCCATAGTTTTTCCATAGTTTTTTGCATAACTTTATCCTACCATTAGTAGTAAAGAGTTAATTGTGTGGTTAAAGTGTGGTTAAAATGCCACGCTACAATAGAAAATTTTTCAATGGGAAAAATTCGCAAATCTCCACTAGTTACGGAAGGTTTGCCTCTGAAACTTAATATTTCAAGAATTTTGTCAGCAGTGTTCAATAAGTTTTGATAAAAATTAATAAAAATCTCAACCCCTAATCCGTAACTAAAGAAAATTTACGAATTTGAAAAATTTTCCATTCTAACCTGACATTTAAACCACCCTGTATGTGTAATAATTTGAATTTAATATAATTTGGATTGTGATTTATTTCAGAATTTATTTGGATTTTGTCCCGCGGCCTGCCATTCACAGACGACACATTTAGAAATGTCACCAAGCAGATCAGAGCGAAAGGAATTAGCACGAATTGGCTTGAAAAGTGCGACACAAGTGGGTGTGCCAATTCAGGGGATGCGATTTAGCAGGATGGCAAATGATTTGTTCGCTAAGAATTATACAACAAACTAGAAAAAACTTATAAGGAAAACTTACTGAAAGTCCTACATACTTATTTTATTGCATGGCAACATATTTAGTTCATTGAAATTTGAATTTTTTGGCTTCCTTTCATTTTCACATTTAGAACTTCATTAGATATCACTATCAACAAAATTATGCAGACAACTTCGAATAATTTATACTGCATATTTTTTCTGTTTCATTATCAATTAAAATCATCCAAAATTACTTTTTAATTAGCATTAATTGATGAAAAAAACTCCTTAACAGACAGACGGACGGACGGACAGACGGACAAGAGGAATTTAATAGCTCCCGTGCTACGCAGGGTGACCTAATAAGTACATAATTATGTTTTCTTCCAATTGTTACTCCTGGTTGTATATTATTTTTGAAATCTTGATGTAATTTTGTAATTCTAGTTTTTTCACTTTTCAGACGCTTTTTCATTCTGAGTGTGCCTATCCAAATGTCGTAGGTTTTATTGATGGTACCGCACGCCCAATTTTCCGGCCAAGTATCAACAAGAGACAAGCTTACAGTGGTTATTACAAGACACTCATACAGAAGTACCAATCTATAATGCTCCCAAATGGAATCATTGGAAGGTTGGATGGGCTCTTTAACCGACGAAGGTACGACTCGCCTATCTTGGGCTTATTGGTCTATATAATTAAAGACTTAGGACGAAAATTTGTATAGAACGACAGTTCCTTGCACACTCTGTACGGCGACCCCGTGTATACGAAAAATTTGTAAAAATTGAATACAAGCCCAATTCCCAAAATCCGCTGACGATACAGCAAATCGATCAAGACATGTCAGCCCTGAGAGTTCACGTTTAATATGGTTTTGGCAACGTTATTCAGTTGTTCGCATTCTTCGACTATAAGAAAAACCAGAAACTTTTACTTCAATGTCTGAGGAAACATTATGATCTTGCTGTAATTCTATCAACTGTCATACATGTTTAAGAGGAAGTCGAGTAACGAAGAACTTTGGATGTGCACCACAGGAACTAGAGGAATATCTTCCCTAAAATTGTTTGTTTATCTAGTTTGGAAACTAAAATGTGTAACAATTGGTTAATTATGAATATGCACAATTATGTACTTTTAATTTGCTTTAGTGTTTAACAATTTAAATTGTAACACGAATTGGTAGCAAAATAAGTGAGGTTTTCCATCATAAAACTGACCTCGCTGTCACTCATAGATTGTTATATGCTCGGATAGAAACAAATTTTGAACGTAACAACCTTTAGTTTATTAATCACGAATAAGTATAACTTTAGATGTTAGTATATCCTACGTAGCATAGATATACGTAAGTTGGGGAACAATGTACTGATCATTTTTATTCGACACGTTACTCATATTGAAACTCGAAACCGGTCCCGGCATTGATCAAATCCGATTGAAACAGTACGAGACCAGCACCATCCTGGAATGTTACACTGGCTGGAATGGTATTCCCACAAAATCTGCAAATGTAAAAATACAATGAATTTCCGACTTCTTAACGTGCACTTCTATGTTTTGAGTTTGAATTGCCGTGTCTCAGCTTTCCCTTGTTCCATAATTCAATTGGTGGGTTTGAAACCTATTCCTCACCGTTCGTTTTTTACAATATGAAGATTTTAGTGCACTTAAAAATAGGTAATTTTTAGGTTTACAAAGTTAGGAGGCAGGAATCTTATTTTTTTCTTCAACGAGAAGATAAATATAAAATAGATGAAAAATAATCAGTGAAAATTAAATATTTACGCATTGAAGATGAAAATAAGATTCTTCCCTCCTAACTTTGTCAACCTAAAAATTACCGATTTTTAAGTCCATTAAAATCTTTACATTGTAATAAACGAACAGGTATCAAAATCGTCATTTGAATACAGGGAGGAAGGGAAAGCTGAGACACGACAATTCAAACTCAAAACCCGCATACAATGCCACCTTAAAGGAGATCGAAAAATCTTACACTGTCACGAGAACGTAACGGCCATCGGACCAATTGTAAATCATGATTGCGTCGTCATATCGACAGTTGGAACTAGCTTGAAGATCTACCCTCGTGAAGCGAAGGGTCGGTCGTCTCGGGACACTCGGGGCAATGGGAAACAAGGCGAGCTCGTATCTCCCATACCTTCCACCTCCACGAGGATAGCTCACATTTCCCTTCGCACTGGTCAAGATTTCGCAACTTAGCTTATCTGGTGCCGTAGAAGAAGCTCCGCTCGAGTAAAATTCCATCTTGAATCCCAGCGTTGGCGCGTGTCCAACGATCAAGGAGATTATTACAATTTCCGAATCGATAGTTACGTTTTGAGCAGATCTGGATCTAAAATAATGATGCAATTTTTAGTCGACATTGATATTCAGCTGGTTGATGGCGAAGAAAACTAAAAACAATCAAGACAGTTCAAAGACGAATGTGGTGGGTAGTTTTTTTTTACTATTAATTATTTCACAAATATATTCTCTATACTTTAAACTCCGAAATTTTACTTTCTTTGTCGTTGGATTTTCCAACGCAAAAACATCTGCATCCTCCCTGATTATCAATATTTCTTCATTCTAATTTTGCCATGTTTGGCAAGAAAACTTCCCTCTACCCTTCCTTCAACTTGATATTTATTGGGTAAAATTTAATGGGCCCTAAGATTATATCTTAAATCGTCTAGTAAAGATCTGTTAATTTGACTTATCTTAGTTTGCCCTGAGTTTAAAATTTTTTAATGCCGAAATGTCTTAAGACCATTTAAGAAATCGGTAATTTATTACTGTAAAACGTTGAAACGGATATATTTACAAATCGCAAATAACTTCATCATCCAATAATGCCTTCTTTCCTTTTACTGGTCGACTCCTTTGTCACTTCACACCACGTGGGATCGCCAGATTGCCAAATTAAGACATTTTTACCGGATGATTTAAGATAATCTTAGGGCCCACTAATACCCACCCGTATTTATCATTCATCTGGAGTAGTTTTACATACTACATTCGATAAAATCTTCAAGCTTACACGGGTAAAACTGATAAAACTTGAAATAACTTTGATAACCCGGACCCATAATGATTCATATAATAAAACCTTACAATTTAAGCGAGTTTCCAAGCCCAGCATAGGATACGGCGGAAAGGTAAATCCCATCGGTTTCCTTCAGACCGGAAGCAATCAGGTTGAATCTTTTTTTGAGGTAAGGTCCTCGCACAATCCAAACGCACCGCATGTCGGCGCGGATTGACCTCCAAAGTTGAAACTCAATCGAGGCTGATGTTGCGTTCACATCCCCGCCACATGTCTTTACTAAATACGTAAGGTAAAAATGTGTAAATCGACATAAAATGTGACGAGTTTTATTGCCTCACCAGTGACGATGGGTTCAGGGTCCTCAGGTCTTTCCTGGTTGGGCTGTGGGGCAGCTGGGAATAGGAAATTAAATAAATAAACCGTTACAAACGAAATGTAGCAAAGGGGTGAAGCGACACGGTCATGGCACGTCAAAATTATGCCGATTTTTGAAATCCCGGCCCAAAACTACGTTTAACACGATCGAAACAAAAAATCAAACAATTTTCTACTTTGGCGTCGTCTACACGGTCATGTGCTATTCGCACGTCGAAATGGTGGCAATTTTTGAAATCCCCGCCAAGAACTACGTCTAAAAAGGGCGCAAGAAAAAATTCAACCTCTTTGACCGCTGGCGTCATCACCGTAACGCCGTGACCTACGACGCCCATTTTCGAACTTATACCGTCCCAAAAAATTATAAACACGTTGGCGAAATGAGGGAGGGGATATCGAAATTCGAATCCGTCCTAAAGTTATCGTAGGAAACGGTCAGAAGGACGGACAGGCAAGACATTCCCATAAGGGGATTTCCTTTCGCCTCACCCCTTAATAAGTGGGGCAAGGTGAGAGTAGCAAATATAATCTTGAACAGTATTTTTTTCCATACCTACGGCCACAGCGAAGAGAACTGCGAGGACGACAAGGATGGAAGTTGGATTCATATTGAAGACGAATTGTAGTATGCTTCGAAGTTGGGAAAATGGTCTCAAATTTATACCTGACATGAGAATCGATTTCGTTATTGTCATGCACAAACCGGGTGTTCCTTGAGGCATTATTAATTTTGATCGATTTCACGACTTATCTGTGTACATTGCTTTGATGGAATATGCATCACGGTGAGATTGACAAATTGGGAAACACAATTAATTAATTTAGTTTGACATGTGTCACACATAATGTGTGGGTCACAAGTTTGTGGACGATGACTACATAATTATGCAATCACAACCGTCAATGACAATGATCACCAAAAATCAACAGACCCAAGGTGTGCGGGAGTAATTAATAATGCCAGCAATTTGCATGCTACCGTGCCAAGTAATTTAGTTTGTAGGCGAGATTTCAAATATCTTGAAAAAAGATCGAGGATACAATTTAAAACATATTTTTGTCTGTGTTACATATTTAGAATTAAAATAATTTATTAAAAGGTCATGCATTTTTTAATAATATTTTTTTCATGATGTAAATATTTGAGCCAGGGTACTTAACAGAGTAAATAATTGCGCCTTAATGTTTAGTAAAACGTTTTCCATCACACTTAAATAAATTATATTGAATGTCAGATATTCATTTTTGTATCGTGTGAAATTGTTGAGGAATAAATTTAAAGTATTTTTTCCAAATACCTTCCCTTAGAAAAAAGTGGATATAGTAAATAGAAAAGAACGTGGTGTATATTTGCAATTGGGCGACTCTGTTAAAAAAATGATGCAACATTGATGCAGAGTTTTTGTTCCATCTTCAATCTTTTTATCACAGCTGGTCAAGTGGCACCCAATGTAAAGGCATACGCAAATAAGCATGTATCATTTACATGGTGTATACATTTCCATTCCATAAAATTAAATGATGCAATTTGTACGACTAATTTCGACAGGTAGTTGAAATCTTATTTGTA